ATTTAAAGAATTATAGGTGTCACGCCTAATGCTTTCTTTATCACACAGAACATGAGCTAAGTGGGGTATGGTTGAGTTTTTGTACTTGCTGGTGCGAGCATATAGTTTTCTATATTGGCTTCTGGTTTTACCTGATGAGATGCAAGGGGAGAGCTGTGAGTGAAGAGGGTGGTGTGAGTTAGATAAAATGGACTTGGCCCATTTTTCACATGAGTCCATGTGCCTGTCAACCAAAATATTAACAAGCTGGTTAAGTGGCACGTTGCTTACCCTGCTAACAACATTTAACATCCTGCGTAAAATGTTATAGTCTTTCTTCAGTAGCCCGGGAAAAACTAAGGGGGAACAATAGAGAATAATAGGCAGGATGCGAGAATTAACGAATTGTAGGAGTAGGGGTTGGGTAATACCAGAATGTTTTAACTTCTTAATGTACAAGGTAAGACGGAATATTTTCTTAGAAATTGCTAAGATATGAGACGACCAGGAGAGATCAGCAGATAGAATGACACCTAGGTATTTAATTTCCGATTTAGTTTCTATTTCAGTGCTGTCTATGTTGCATACCTCGTAAGAGCCAAACAGTTTGTTTAGGTCGGATTTATACCTAAAGGTGAAATTGACTGTTTGGCATTTGGAAGGGTTTAGGGTAAGACCATTTTCCTTGGACCACTGGCTGATTTCTGACAGAAAGCCATTAAGTTTAGAGCAGTCGCTTTGACATTTGATAGGCAAAGATACAGACAGATCGTCAGCGTATTTGACAAAATTAATGTCATTTGAAGATGATAAGTCATGTAGAAAGAAAGAAAAGAGAAGTGGGGAGAGTACAGCGCCTTGGGGGACTCCGGCTTCAGTGAGTACAGCAGAGGATGATTTACCTTTGTACACGGTGTACTGCATTCTGTTAGAGAAGTAGGAATGCAACCAGTTAGTGACCCAGGACTCAGTTTTTGTCAAAGAGAGCTTATTTAGCAGGAGACATCTAGGAACAGAGTCGAAAGCAGAAGTGAAGTCAAGAAACGTGCAGCGGACGTACTTGGCACCTTTATCTAATGATGAGACAAAGTTGTTGTGTAAGACAGCTGCAGCGTTTAATGTACTCCTACCATGTCTATAGGCAAATTGTTTTGGGTCTTCGAAGTTTTCAAGGGAGGGTTCGAGTTTAAGAAGTATTAGTTTTTCCATAACCTTTAGAAACGGGGAAGTGATGGCAATGGGTCTGAACTTTACGTTCTTGCCGTTTCCAGGTTTAGGGACAGGGACAATTTTGATGTCTTTCCATGCATCAGGTACGATATTTTTAGAGAAAGAAGCATTTAGGATGTTGGTTAGTGGAGAACACAACACATCTGCACATTGTTTTAGAACATAGGCAGGTATACCATCAGGACCAAGGCTACGTGAGGGCTTGAGTGTTTTAAGACATTTTAGAACATCGAGAGTATTAAAGTCATGAAAGTTTTCAGCTACATGACAGGTAACATTAGAAGTAGTTAAAGTAGAAGGACAGCGTATAAAAGACTGATTAAGAGCATTAACATCATAAGAGGGAAAAGCATTGCAACGCTTACTATTACCAGTAATTTCATTAAAAAGTTTCTACATACTGATTGGAGATTTACATGATAAAAGTGTGTCATTATAGATAGCATTAAGATTTTTGATTTCAGATTTGATCTGAGCATTAATCTTTTTGAGTCCTAACTTGTCTTTGGATTTGTATAAAGTTTCTTTTTTCCTGCGTTGTTTGAGATAAGGAGATGAGAAGCGGTCGAGGCGTTTGAATAGAGTTTGTTTGGGACAGCATATATCAAGGCAAAACTTAAGATAATCCGTTATATTGACAATTGTGTCATCTAATGAACTTTCATGGAATAAGTCCCAGTTAGTATTTTGTAACATGCACCTTAGATTGAGTAAGTTTTCGGATGAGTAGCATCTTTGTTGTGCTTTCATAGACAGATGCGAGAAGACTTTAATATGTGTTTTGCTGTAAATTTTTGGTAGAACATGAACAATAGAGTGATCAGAGTTGAGGATCGGTGCACGTTTACGTGCTTCATAGATTCCTTGGTCATTTGTGAAAACTAAATCAAGTGTTTTGTCTAGTCGAATTAAACAAATTAAAATATTTGACATCAACTCTAAATCTATCTCTAATCGTAATCGTAACCTTAATCCTAACCCTAATAACAACCCTTATTCTAGCGGTAAACTTAACCCTAACCGCAATACTTACCTTAACCCTAATCCTGATCCTAAAGAGCTATTAACACATTGTCCAAACAGTACTTAAAAACGTGATCTGGGTAAAATTTGCTCCTTACTTGGTGAATAGCGTTGATATTTCAGCTATGATAATGACAGGTGCCGTTATTCAACGACTAGTATGCGTTCAAAATTTTTGAAATGTTAGCACCCCTGGGACGCCACTGTTGAACTTCGTCAGGTAGCCAACCGATGTCAATAAACACAATTCCGCATCAACGGCAGAAACTAGAAAAGGTGGCATCTATTCGACTACAGGCGGCACAAATGACGATGTCAAAGCCAGACACAATTACATGGGGAAAGCAAGAGAGTCGTTGTTCATTCCTTTGAAATCAGTTTGACAATCTAAAACAGCAGTCTACTCAGTAAAACAGAACAATATTTTAATTTGTAATACTAATGTCCATTCAGTGATCCCGTATGATTCAGAAGCTTGACATATCGACAGATACATTTATAACGGCATTTACTGTAGACTTTCATCAACAAATAACTCCACTCAATAATGACGAGCAAATGGTTAGGCAGGGGGCGGAAAAGATAAGCAAGATAGAAACCTCTCAGTACACAGTTTTTCAACTAACCTCTTATCAAACAAACATGTACAAAGAAAAAGAGATGGATTGGATATACTCTAAAGAAGTTCGTTGAGTGACATCAGATACTCTACCAAGCCCCAAATACAACCCCACTGGGAAGCGACAGGTTGGGTGTAAGTCGGAGAAGATCATATAAGTAATAATTGAAAGCTTATGTGCAGTTATAAAACCCAGTGAAAGGAATAGCAGAGAAGTGGATGCAACAGAAATGTACCACTGAATCCCTGCCTAAGTTCCACTTGGAATGCAAGGAACGAGTAATATTAATAATACCAACAATGGCAAGAGTAAACAATAGACACCAAAGTCAAGTGACCTTGATTTGACCAATCAGATAGCTCATCACTACAAATGGTTGCTAGTAATAATCCTCGTTGAAAATATCTCCTAGATTTGGTTTTCGACTTCTCTGTGGAAAATGGTGTAGTGTACATTGTACCTTCGAACTTTTGTTTGAACGAACTCACCTGACCTTTAACCCTACTTCCTCTTTGGATTCGTGAATCTCCTGTACGGTTTCGGTTTCGCTCTCTCGCTGTGCTTTCATCCAGCACACTCTCCGAGCTTACCACCGTCTCAACTGCAGATAAATGTATACCCTATTATTCTTTATCAAATCTCATATTGCTTTTGGGTAAATATAACTCTGTTCCAGTCACGCTAGTTATCTCAAGTCTTTTACCTTGATTCAGTTCGTTAGTATTTGCGCATTAGGCAGAGTACTATTAAGGTTATAAAGCGGTGAAGGAGTTTTTGTAAGAGTGGCTAATTTAGGTCTAAGTTAACCCAAGTCTAACTCTTACAATGGTTTGGTGGGGTGGAATAAAACATGCACATTTGGAGAAATAATGGCTCTGCAAAAGTATTGCCGGCCAATTGATGATTATACATTCAGATGCAACCCTTTCACATGAGGAAGTCTGTATAAGTTGGTAAGTCGTACATAATTGGTGATTATTTTTGAGACACTTTCTTCTTGAAATCAAAGCTCTCCCTTGCGTATATACAACCAGTAACTGCTATACTGGTTTCATATGTCAATAACTGCCTCCATGAGAATCTGGAACCAGGTTTGCAGCATATTAGAGATATATTCCTTATATGATTCACTTTTAATACATATTTATCGTAGATACGCATCTTCGTAAATTGAGGGTCACTTTTCACCTAGAAGAATCTGATTGGCTGTTTCAAGGTCGTCTGAAGTTGGTGTCTATTCTTTACTGTTGCTCCAAGCTCAATTAATAAATATACATTTCTACTGAATTTGCTATTTTGAATTTCTCCTTATTGGGACTTTAGTACCTAGTCTCAATCAGAAATGCTGACGAGTCCGAAATATGACGAAACACATATCCTATATATCCTATTGTCAGTTATCATTGACAGAGTAATGATAATGATAATAATAATGATAAAAATTTATTGCAATACCATCCTTCTGTCTGTAGATTGCTTCATTGAAAGTAAACTGTACATTCAATGTACATCTCAGAAGTAGTTCTTTCAGATCTGTAGTGGGTATCCCTATATTCAATTTGTTGTCTTCTATATATTTGCATATAAAACATAGTTTCTGTCAGTGGAACGTTCGTAAATAGGGATTCTACATCCAAAGACAATATATGTTTATTCGACGCATTTATATCCTGGAAGGTGTCCCGAAGGGAATGATTAGGGTCCTCTCCTTGCAGACTGTTTTATGTCCAGTCTAGAAAATGATCAGCTGAAGCCCATAATCCAAAGCTTTCAAATGTATAAAAAGTATGTAGATGACACCTTTATTATTTTTAATAGTGATTGTAACTTGAATAATGTATTAGATGTATTTAATGGTTGCCATCTGGCGATAAAATTCACACTCGAAATGGAGAATGAGTCTAGCATTCATTTCCTCGATATGAACTTATCAAGGAGGACCGATGGAACTCTGAAAAGATCGATTTATCGTAAGCTGTCATGGAATGGTCAACTGACAAATGTCTACAGCTGGGTACACATTGGTCGAAAACGAAACCTGATCCGGTCGCTTGCCACTCGTATTCGGCGCATATGTAGCCCTGATACTGTGGAAGATGAGTTATACATCTTGAGGAAAATCCTAGTAGAAAATGGATTTCCACCACGTTTTTATAGATAAGAATATACATTCAGAAATTTATTCTTAAACAAATAAAAAAATAATAGACAGTAATTCTTGATTTACAATTTAAAATTTCATACAAGGGGTCAAGGAATAAAATGGATATATGCGTGTATATATACAATGACAAAATAATCATAACTAAATCAGCACTGAAATATACGTGAAAAATGGTTCTTCTAATCGAGAAATCACCTTATACGCCAAGTTGTTTAATCCATCATAATTCATTCGACTTTCTGTACTTTCAGTTACTTGTAAGTGATTAATGTTCATATTATTGTTATGATTATTATTATTCCCGTTGAGTTGCGGCGTATTCTCCCACTTTTTACTTGATGATGTAAGCATATATTGTCCAATCTTTTCATTGACATGTCTATACTCAACATTAATAGTTTTAAGACGTTTAATAAAGTCATAATGGTATTCTATGTCGTTATATGCATTCCAATAAACATTAGAATACCCGTTGACAGTTATAAAATTTTTGGCGGTTAATTTAACAACACCATTATTCCTGTACGATGATAATGTGGAGGCGGACGATGAGGATGTTGTATAAGGAGGTTTAAATTTACTGAGATTATTATTATTATTATTATTAACTGCCATACTTAAATGTATCATTGAATATTTCGTCATTGTATCACATTGGTAAGAATTATAATAATTCACTGGTGCTAAATTGAAATCGTGAAATAGGACACAGTGGAATTGAAACAACTTCATGGCTTCTACAAAACCAACATTTAATAATTTACCTTTATTATAATTATAATTATTATTATTATTATCATCACTGTTAATATAACTAAGTGATTCTATCACAAAAATTCGATAACATAAACGTTGTCTTTGTAATAGCGGTATCAGTGTAGACAATGTGGCATAGAGTTGTTGCCGTTCCGCTGCTTGATTTGGAGGAAATGGAATAATGATAGCTACACCATCCTCTGGTAGTACATCACAATATCTATCCTCACTGACGTCAGTGTTGTCGTCGTCGTCTTCTTCTGATTCCCCCTCATTATCCTCCATCGCCTTGTATATCCATGCACCACCTGATAAATGAGGATAACTCAGGTTTGATAATGCTTGTAAATTTGCATTAAATTTAGGAGATAACATTTCTGAAATATTTCCATAAGATTTTAATTGACTTTTAGAAATTTTAGGGATACGTTGACAAATACTTTTACATGTGTCTTGTGTAATCAATTTCTGTTCATGTATTATTTGTGGATCAGAGATCTGTTCATGTTGAATATAATAATAAGTGAGAATAATTTCATGAATAGTTAGTTGATATTCTAATAATATACATATGAGGAGAAAAAATGAAGCGAATAGAAGAAGAAGAGTCACAGTCATAGTAGTAGTAGTAGTATGAATAAACATTGACTTTGAAGGCTTTGAAGTTGATTTCAGCTTGGGCATAGTGTTCTGTGTGTGTGTGAGTGTGTGAGACAGCGTATTACTTTTTATCCTAGTTACTTCACTCTGGTTGAGTTGAGTTGATTTGAGCTGCACAGCACACAATTTATTAATTAACACACACAGTAATGACTGTATTTCTGTCTGATAATTATATTTATATGAGCGTGTTAAACATACACACGCATATTTACTTTTTTAAAAAGTATGAGTAGCCAATAGAATCAATCGATTTACACTATTGAATAGTGCAGTTGAATTATTACTATTATTATTATTCATACTAATAGAATTGAATTGTTAGAAGGCATTTTTAAGTATATCAGTAGTTTAAGGAAAAGAAAATGTGATTTTATTTCTATATGTCCATAACATTTTGGAATCTTCTTCTGTCTTAAAGCAATGTTGAAATAATGGAGAAGATTTGTAGCTCAGGTGGATGATTTGCAATTAATAGTGTTCTCTGAGCTGGTTAGTTTGGTTGCGGAGCTTTCTTCGTCCATCTGGACAACATCTCCCTTCAGCGCAATATTAAGCATAAAGTGAACCGACTTCAATTTCTCCATGAGTGATATAGTTGCGTCTCCTGGTAACCATCTCAACATATGTATTGACCATTTTCTATTGACTTCGATTTTAAACTTTCTCGTCACATGATTTACTTTTTATTAGTTGGTATCTCTCGTCTACATTAACGTGCTTGTTAATTGCATTTTCGTTTGAGTACCAGGCTTCTAGGAATTCCCTGACTGCACTTTTGGTGTTTTCTCTGTCCAGGATTTCGACATTATCCCAATCAAACTGATGTCCATAATTGTCTATATGCACTGATAATAAAGAATATATATCGTGTCTTTTCATGGCTGATTTGTGTTCTTGGATTCTGATTCGAAGGGGACGCCCACTTTGGCCTATGTAATGCTTGTTGCAGTTCATACAATCTATTTTGTAAATGGTATTAATTTTATCTCCTTTTTCTGTTGGATCTTTCTGTTTGCATAATATCGAATTAAGCGATTTTACTGGCTTGTGTGCTATATCCATATCAAACGGTTTCAATATTCTAGCTGTTATTTCAGAGATATTTTCCATTTATGGTAGAATGAATTTTCTTGACGTCTTTGATGATGGTTTCTTGTTGGTGTTTTGATTCGACTTTAAACACTTTTTGATGAAATTTTGTGGATAATCATTCTTTTTGAAGACCGTTTTTAGGTACTTTTCTTCCATTCTTTTCAACTCTGGAGTGCTACAGTGTGTTTGAACTCTTTTAAACAATGTCTGCACATACTTTCGTTTGTGAGTAACTGGATTAGTATAGTTGAGTATTTGATCTGTGTGCGTTGATCTTCTATATACTTGCGTTTCTAAATCTCCTGTGTTGGTTCTCCTGATTAAGATATCTAAAAATGGGATTTTGTTATCTAATTCTTCTTTTCTTGTCAATTTCATGTCTTCAAATAATGTAATGTTTCTCATCATTACTGTGTCTAGGTAAATTATTATAAATGTAGAGCTGATATCCTTCTTCCTGTGATGATGAGACGTTCTCAGTCGTTTTAAGCTGATGCTTTAATGTCACACTATATTTTTCTATGCTCCAGTGGTTCTGTGATAGAACGCTCGCTATCCATGCTTCACTTGATCCGGGATTCGATTCTCGGCCCTCAAATGCCAAGGCCCAAACCTCATTAAGCCGATGGGAGTAAGACCGGTAAAGGGTAAAGGGGAAGGTTAGGCATAAAAATAAAAATAATGCTTCCAGGATTTCATTATGAACTGACATTGGTTACAGGACCATTAGAAAACCTGAGAGTATTGGATAGCTGTTTCGTTCGCCTAGTTTGGGACTTTTCAGCATTTCGCACCCACCGTCAGGGTTAGAAGCCATGGCCTTTTGGTTAAAACGCGAGCTCATAGACCATTGAGCTACTGGGACCCAATCTGATGGTGCATGAATCCCAACTTCTGCCAATTCACGATATGGGGTAGCACACAAAGCTAGTTTTCCGGAGTAACGACACCAATATAGGTGACTGGACAAAAGCAGTTGAATTGGACGATACAGTTCGAGGTGCCTAGCTTAGGTACTTCATGTTTCAGTTTCAGAATCGCAACCGGTTATGTGGAAAATATAAGCTACAGATTACAGGTACTAAACATTCTTTGAATTGAATTTCTCAACTTGCTGGTCATTATTTCACTTAGTATATATCGTCTTTGAATTATAGTCACATAAATATATAAATGTAGAGAGACAGAGGTAGAGAGAGAGAGGCTTCTTGTTACAGAAGAATTCCTTTCTACTCTCTTGGTCATTTATTTCATGATGAACTTTTCAAGGTAGCTATTTTCAATTAACGTTTTTGTTGTTGTTGTTGTATACAAACAACCCTTACGTTTGTCTTCAGTCACATCTTCTGAATCAATAGCGCTCTCTCTAATCTTATAAGCTAAGAAAGAGTCTTTACAAAAACTTGCTTCTCTGTTTACAAAAATATACCTTTAGTAGTTATATCTGTGATCAAATGACTAACAGAGGTCAATAAATAAATAAACAAGTAAACAATTAAGAACATGCCTTAGCTCAATGTCATATGATAAACTAACCACCTTGGTTTAACTCTTTCTGGCACTTCTAAGGTCAAGGCAGAGCGTGAAAATTTTTTTCTTTTTAATGTAGTCAAGCACAAAAGATTTTCTAACCAGTTAGTGGTGCATGCTTTTTCAGATAGATATGCGTTAGTAACAAACAGGAACAGTATCCAGAGAGATTCTACTGCATATAATAATAATAATTATTATTATCACTTTATTCCAAACAGCAATAATAATTATACAGAATGGAATTTTCAGCGTTTTTTATACATATTACAACAGTTTAGCTCCTTTGATAAATATGTACATACGTAAAATTTAAAATAGTAATAATATTAATAATAAATAATAATAACATTAATAAAGCAACCACTATAAACGGAATGTTGGTAGAAACATAATAAAGTGTAATTAGATAGAGTCATACATGATACATGTAATAATAATAATAATAATCTTTGCTTATATTAGATGGTTGGAGGCAAGCAGCAGGAAGCCCAACTGGACCTATGTTTCTTGCTAGTTGTCACTCACCAGTCAGCAAGGCGTATCTGTAACCTTGAAGGAACTCATGTCCCTCCTGAGATTCGAACCCGCGTCACCCAGTGAGTACTGCAGTCAGAGACGTTACCACTGAAATCGTGAAGCGTTCCATATTTTGGCGTCGGTGGCTTAGCTGTAGAATATTCACCAACCACGCCTCGAGTAGTCCAGGGTTCGATTCCCGGCCACCAACTCACTCCTTTATCTCACTAATAAAACTGGTGAATAGGGAAGGTTGAGCATGAGGCTAGCAACCGCATCCCGTAAACGTAAACACCACTGCAACCAAAACTTTAAAGCTCTACGTTCCATTCCTCACGTAGAGGAATAAAATGAATATCAAGTTAGTGCTTGAATATAGTTTAAAGATTTGGCTTCCGCATCATGGAAAGCATTTCCAAAAGGTTGAAAAATTCACACCAACTGAAGATCTGATGGCCGGAAATGATAAGCAACAAGGAACCATGACAATGCATCAAACGATTTTTTTTAAATATGCAGGAGGAAATGGAGATGAATTGGACATACACTGAGGATACCGTTGAGTTATATATTACGCGCCAAGCTGTCTCACAACTGGAACGTGAGTGGGAAACGACAAATTCGGTGTGATTCCAAAATTGACGCAGGTGATAGCGTGTGAAGAGAAAATTAGAGGTGATGCTCAGTATTACATCCAACTAATGAAGCTTTATTTTCCACTCAAATCCCAGATGAATAATAATAATAATGATAATAACAATATAATACCTATGATTTCTGATAACAACTGCTTTAGAATTTCAAGCGCGTTGGTGTCACAGCGGTTAGGACGCTCGCCGACTATGCACATGGTCCGAGGTTCAATCCCCGGCCGACACACTTCCTTACCTCGCCAAGCCATAAATAAAGCTGGTAAAGAGGAAAGGTTGGGCATGAGGCTAGCAACGCCATCCTGTAAAATAAACACTACTACTACCGAAACTGAAAGCCTCTAGCTTGAAGCCCCTATGTTCTACTGGGAACGTAAAGGAATAAAACAACAAAACAGAATTTCAAGTGAACAGCTTCACCAATAATTTGTCTCTGAGATTTCAAGGAGTTAAAAGTCACTATATACATTGGAAACATGAATTACAAAGTTATGTACACAGGAATTGAGAGTGACAGCGTGAGAAAGAGAGAGGGGAGAGGGAGAGAGTGTGTGTGCGTGTGTGATTCACAATTTATTTAGGTAATCAACATAAGCTTTACTTAATCTGCATTCAAATGTATTAAAAATGCCATTTCAAGACTATGTAATATGGCTTTTTTTAGACAATTGTATTACTGATATCATTATTATTATTATTATTATTATTATTATTATTATTATTATTATTATTCAGTCTTTTATTCATAATACAAACACACAGATTTACAGAATAATTTTATGATTTATTAGAATTCGGAATACTTTATTATTAATGGATCGTTCAAAGTATTCAAATCATTTGCAAAGAAAACGTAATCACTTTTTAGGCTTAGATGACTAATCTGTAGAGTCAGCTAACGCTTATATATCACTCTGATGTTCACTAGCTACTGACACTCGCCATAGATAACATCGGCTAGTGCCAGTCGCGCTACATCGTGCATGAATTGGCAAAAGTTGGAATTCATGCGCTGGCTATTGGATTGGTTCCCAGTGGCTTAATGGTCTACGAACTCGTCTTGTGGTCGGAAAGTCTTGGGTTCGAACCCTTTCGATGGGCACGTACTACTGAAGAGTCCAAAACTGGGACAAAATAGGTGTTCAGTACTCTCTGCTGGTTTCCAGTGGTTCTTTAACCGATATCAGTTCATGATGAAATTCTGTAACCAAAGGAAATGGGTGAATATTCATTAACATTTGATATCAATGAATTAACGATGGAATGCTTTACAGTCATGCAAAAGGACCAGTTTCGAACCCTTTTAGACGAACTCTTAAGCCTTGCCGAGCTGGTAGTAAGCCAGAAAAAGCGGAAATGTTGGTGTGAGGCTAGAAGTCCTACTCTGTAAAAACAACACTACCTCTACTGAAACTTTAAGACATGA